ATGCTAAACACCTCAGCTGGGGCTGTCGTACAAACAACCCAAGAGGTACGGTTCTCTACAATTTTATAAATCTTAAGGGCTACAAAATCCTTGCGCCCCCTGGACCAACATACTGGCCTACCTCCTTACACAAAAAACCGGACATACTAGACATATTTATTTCCAACACACCTCGCAATCTATTCTGCACGACTACCAATCTCTTAGAACCCTGCTCGGATCACTCTGCAGTACTCCTGACTGTCAGTGCCTGTCCTCCAACCCGGCCTTCTCTACCAAAACTCTTTCTACATTCAACCAATAGGCTTAAATTCCACGACTTGGTGGATAAAAATATAAATCTCAAAGTTAGTCTTAAATCCCCCCAAGAAATTGATGAAGCCATAAACTACCTAACAAATGTAATCCAATCTGCAGCATGGGCTTCTGGTCCTACTAAAATACAGCATTCAAATGTTGCTGCTTCAGTCCCCGAACATATTCGTATCCTTATATCCAATAAGCGCAGAGCAAGGGCCGTTTACCAACGTTCACGTCTTCCATCCCACAAACGTATTTATAACAATCTATCTAACTCGCTGAAAAAAATACTAGCTAAACATAAAAATCAATCTTTTGTAAACCATCTCTCCAACTTATCACCTAACAATGGCAGTCTTTGGGCAGCTACCAAAAGCCTTCTAAAATTCAAACCGTCGCTCGTTCCTATAATAAATCCCCACGGTGGATTTGCTTCAACCGATGTTGAAAAAGCAGAACTGTTTAAAGAACATCTAACTGAAACTTTCACGCCTCATCAGGATATACAAATTCCTTCACATACTGACAAAGTAAATCGTTTACTTGATATCCCTCTTTCTATCTCTCCCGCAGTTAAGCATTTCTCTCCTGGAGACGTTAAATTTACAATTCAAAAATACAGTCTCAAAAAATCTCCGGGGTTCGACCTGATAACTGCAGAAGTGGCCAGGTCCCTCCCCAAAAGAGCCATTGTTTTTCTCACAGTTATATATAATGCATGCCTAAGATTGTCATATTTTCCCATGCTTTGGAAATTCTCTGTAACAATTCTAGTTCCAAAACCTAATAAGCCCCCTGACATGTCCTCCTCCTACCGACCAATAAGTCTCCTCCCCTTCTTCAGCAAAATTTTAGAAAGATTAATTCTTAAAAGAATTCTTCCATGCATTTCTGCCAGTTCCATATTACCAAATACTCAATTTGGTTTTCGTTCCGCTCATTCCTCAATACATCAACTACACAGACTAGTTGATGCTATCTCATTCTCCCTTGAAAAAAAAAGTTATTGCTCCTGCGTCTTCTTGGATATATCCCAAGCATTCGATAGGGTATGGCACGAGGGACTGCTGTATAAAATAAAGCCAATATTTCATCCAACCTACTACTTATTAATCAAATCCTACCTCACGGATCGTTACTTTCAGGTCAGAGTTGGCACATCCTTTTCTGGCTTAGCAAAAATTAGTGCAGGTGTTCCTCAGGGGGGCATCCTTTCTCCTCTATTATACAACATATACGCTGCCGATCAACCAACCTCTCCGTACACATCTGTTGCGGAGTTTGCCGATGACAAGGCTATTATTTCTATCCATGATAACCCTCACACAGCTTCCCTCAATCTTCAACTCCACCTGGACCTCATGGCTGATTGGTATAAAAAATGGCGTATCAAAGTTAACCAATCCAAATCACTTCACACAACTTTCACCCTTCGTCTTCCTCCTTGTCCTATGGTTTATCTAGACAATATTCAAATCCCTTCCTCTCAATCGGCTAAATACTTAGGTCTGACAATTGACCGTCGACTCACATGGTCACATCATATTAAAATTAAAAGGCTAGCCCTAAATGCACGACTCCGCATCCTCAAAACTCTAATTACCAAAAACAAACACACTCCATTAAATACTAAACTCTTAATTTATAAATCCTTGTTTAAGCCTATGTGGACCTATGGTCTTCAACTCTGGGGCAATGCCAAAAAATCGAACACTAATAAAATTCAAACCTTCCAAAACAACATCCTTCGTAAAATCACAAACTCTCCTCCATATATTTCAAACCTAACTTTGCACACCGATCTAAAAATTAAAACAGTCCACGAAGAAGCAGTAACCTTTTACAAACGTTTCCACTCAAAACTTCCTTCTCATACCAACCCCCTCATTTCAAACCTTTCCACATTCACAATTCCTGGGAACCCTCCTAGGAGGCTCAGAAGAAAATGGTGTCGAGATCTTCTCAATGAGTAACACACAATAATGAGCAAACATTATAGAAAAAAAAAATAAAATAAAATAAAATAACAAAAAATATCAAGTAAGGGTAGTGTAACCACTGGGTGACTCCTCCCATCACGTAATCATGTTATAAACTTTTAAAATATCACATATTCTTATTGTTCCTAAAAGAACAGATTGTATATACCTTATAAATAATAAAAAAAAAAAAAAAATAATTATTGCTGATGTGGGTTCATTTTTTTATATCCATTGTTTCATCGCTAATTTTCTGCAGATGTATCTCGTATGTTCAAACAAGTCTTCTCAATGATTAAACTTTTACATCAAGCAAGTATATTATTAAATATAATTAATAATAATGCGTAGCTTATGATTTCCTATACCTATCATTTGCTGAATTTAAAATAACATATTTACTTTGCTTAGTAACTTACTATTATGCAATAAATTATATTCCATCACTACCCAAAAGCCTCACTCGTAATCTATCATGCATATATATTTATATACATGCACATGCTTATTTTATAAAATCAATTCATACCAGGGTATATCCATCATTTCAAGAATTAAAATACATTTCAAAGAAGTTTTGAAATGCCTACATCAATCGTTTCTGAAAAAAAATGTTTCTGGAGATTTAGAATATGTAAAGTGACGTTACATCAATGCTCAAAAAATAAGAGCTTTTGTTAAAAAATAAGTTGATGTTTTTAGACGTATTATATAAGTTTATTGTCCCGAATGAATCTAACTCATTTTGAAATAGAACCCTGAGAAATATATTCTTTTAAAGAAATGTATGACATATTGGCCGGTTTTTTACTTACAAGACCAAAACTTGAACGGAAATATAATTGTGTATAAATATAAAAGGCAAACTTTGTTACTCAGTTAGTTCAAATAAGAACGAACTGTGTAGTTTATTCAAATACTAATTTAATACTATCAACTGTATTAACAGTTAATATTATAAATTTATAATCTAATTAATATCTTACCTTTGGATTCGTAACTTTTTTTTATATAAATTACAATATTACAATCTCTATACATTCAACTTTTTTAATTACTTACGTAAAACGTAAAGTCAAAGATGTTAGATTAAACTCAAACAAGACGAGTTAAAATATTTGCATTTATTCTCATAAAATAGATTTAATCTTAATCGAACTCGATTAATACTGTTGAAAATTTAATTTTTCGTTATCTAATATTCATGCTTAAAATGTAAGAATATAAAATTAACTTAAAAACTAATTTCACTGCTGAACACAAAATTCAATAGCGACTGCAGTTCTATGTTGATGGATTTTCTTTCAAAAATGAGTTAATGATGTTTAATTCCCCTATGCGTTTAGCACTATACCTCTGATCCGAACATTTTAAAAGAAAACGTTTGTTAATTCTTGCTAAATTATAAGTAACTTAATAATTCTAGTTTGTAGTGATTTCCAATATACATAAATATTACACAGAAAATTCATACAGCTTAAAGATATTGTATAGTACATAATATATTTCCTTTTATATATTGTATTTTCCTATGATGCATTAAATGATTTACACAGATAAGAAAGCGTAGTGAACTTATTTATAAATTAATCATGTTCAAAACACATAGAAAAAGCTATCCACAAAAGTTAAAGGGTTACAGAATTACTCATGTTACAATAGTTGCATATAGTTTGGGTATATTAACAAAGTAGGTATTAAATAATAAGGCACCTCTTGCAGAATGTCTCAAATTTTTATTTTCAACTCAAGCATCGAATGCTTTCTTCGCTTTTTCCATAGAAATATTTTAATATAACTTAAATAATGCAGAACACCAGGAATATGAGTTAAGTATTTAATCAGTTGTAGGTATCAGCCTAAAAAATATGATTCAATTCGTAGGTGAAATGAGTAAGATATGCTAAAAACAAAACCTTTAGACCTGCTTTAAGTTTTTATATTAAATCAATCCAAACATCACGAATCATACATAAACATACATTTGATTAATCAAAACGAATAATTTAAAATAAAATTATAAACTGAAATAGACATCGTGCTATAAACATAATTTATGGTCTCAACAGTCGTGGGTACCTATAGCACGTCGAACTAATCGTTCATTTTACCGTATATATATCTACAAATATTTTGTTTTTATACACTATAATCTAAATAATATTGTTTAAAATAAAATCAATACACGACGAATACACCTACCGATATTTATAATAAAGCCATATCCGGTCAGTTCAAAAAACCACAATAGTGGTTTTGTTCAAAATACATAATAATAATAATAATATAATATTCCAGATAATAATTATATTGTAGGCATACGTGTATAAATAATAAGTAATAATATTATGTAAAAACGAAAAATCTCTGTGTCCGTGTGTAATATTTGGTGACCGGTCAAAATATCTCCGCAAAAATATCTCCGGTCAAAATATCTCCGACAAAATATCTCCGATACAAAATATCTCTAGTCAAATATATCTCCGATTTAAAATATCTCCAGTACAAAATATCTTCGATTTAAAATATCTCCAGTACAATGCAATTTGTATTATCTGATATATTTTTCACGATTACGAGTGCGGTTATAAACCATGATAAACGATTTTATCGACGTAACGACTGTATCGATACGACAGTGTGTCAGTATAGACATAGAGCTTGTATCGATTAACCAGCTAGTTCCAGTTTCACTAAAATACAACGGATTTAGATTTAAAAATGCCTCTACAATTTATTGTAAGTCAAAAAGGCAACAAGTTATTATTGCATAACGGATACCTGCATACGTTCTATAAAGAAGGTGTGAACAAATTTATTTGGCGTTGTTCCGAGTACAAAACCTATAAATGTACTTCATGCTATACAACCACTCGAGAAGAAATAGGTAATTATTTTATTACTAATTATTAAGGCCTGGATTTAGTTGTATCATTTACCAAAAATTAACATTTGTTAATTGTTTGTTACATTTGTACATTTGTTGACATTTATAATGTCTTAACATAATATACAACTTAATATAAATTAATACAACTTAACTAAATTAACTCTTTTTTAATTTTTAATTTAATTTTAGGGGATATAATAAAAGAATCTGTTCATTATTCACACGCACCAGATATTGCTAAAGTAAAAATTAAAGAAATTATTACAAATATAAAAGAAGAAGCAAAAACATCTGTATTAACTCCCAGAAATTTAGTAAGTCGTGCAGTTGAAATTCTGCCGACATCTATAATTGGTCAATTACCGAACATAGAAAAAATGTCTAAAACAATTCGACGAGAAAGGATTAAACAACAAAAACCTCCAGCTAATCCAGTAAATGTTGGTGAATTAATAATTTCTGGTGAATATTCTGTAACAAACAAAGGTGAAATGTTTTTATTTTACGATAATAAAATTCAAAAGCGTATATTAATATTTTCCACTTTAGAAAATTTAAATATGTTAAAAGAATGCTCGAGTTGGTTTGGTGATGGCACATTTCGTTCAGTGCCAACATTTTTTTCACAACTTTACACTATACATGGTACAAAAAATAAACAAAGTTTTCCTCTGGTTTATATATTAATGGTAGATCGTTCTAAAGATTCATATATTGAAGTTCTGAAAGCGTTAAAATCTGCAGTTTCCAGTTTAACGCCACAACGAATTATGGTTGATTTTGAAATGGCCTTCATATCAGCTTATAAAGATGAATTTCCTACAACAGAAATTAAAGGTTGTTTTTTCCATTTTCAACAATGTTTATGGCGGAAAATTCAAAGTTGTGGTTTACAACAAACGTATGGTGATGACGTAGAATTTGCTATGCAAATACGATCGTTGAGTGCTTTGGCGTTTATTCCAACAATTAATGTTATTCGAACTTTCGAAGAACTTTTAGATTCAACTTATTTTTTGGAAAATGATGAATTATTATCTCCAATAATCAATTATTTTGAAGATACATGGATAGGGAGACCAAATCGTAACAACCGGAGACGCTCGCCCCAGTTTGATTTTTGTATGTGGAACTGTTATGATTCAGTACTTAAACATCAATCACGGACCAATAACGCTGTTGAAGGTTGGCATCATGCGTTTAACCGTGCACTTGCAGCAAATCATGTCACGATTTGGAAATTTATAAATTTTCTTAAACAAGAACAGTCATTACAAGAGGTATTTTATAATATAATATTTATGTCTTTAATAATATATTATTAAATCACCTTATGTTTAGGTCAAAATGGAACAATCTTTGTCGGGTGAACCAAGTCCGAAAAAAAGAAAAAAGTACAATGATTATGATGAACGACTGTTTAAAATCGTAAGTCAATACAACGAAATGACCCCAATGAATTATTTAAGGGGAATTGCCCACAATCTTAAATTTTAACTTGTATCTTGATCGGATTTTATATTTATTTATTTAACTTTTTTTAAATTTTTATTACATTCATTACCTGGTATTTAATTTATTTAATTTTGTTTAATTTTATTACGTCACTCAATCGTCCATAACCTTAAATTATAATTTGATACATATTTTTTGTGATAATTTTGTTTTTATTGTCTGTGGATTATTTTCTGTTTTTGTGGCAATCATTATTGTATGCAAGTAAAACTCACTATATTATAAATACAGTCGATTATATTATAATAAAAAATTTATTTTGTACTTATAATAAATAATAATAATTACATATTATTAAAATATTTTCATGGGGGATATTTACAATAAAGAAATTTTTAAAAGGAGATATTTTGTACTGGAGATATTTTAAATCGGAGATATATTTGACTAGAGATATTTTGTATCGGAGATATTTTGTCGGAGATATTTTGACCGGAGATATTTTTGCGGAAATATTTTGACCTGGAACCTAATATTTCATCGGAGCACAAAAGAGAAACGTACACCGCACCCGTTAAAATATTTTCCGAGTTTTGCTAAATCGTGTCAACCTCGAATAAGTGATGGTACAATATTCCATCCGCAGGTAGGTACTACACGGTGTATATTATTTTAACAGTAATGCTATAAATCGGAAACGTTGCAGTTTATCGTTAAGGTTTTCTGTTTTCCGACGTTTTTCGCGTCGTACTACATAGGTACCATACTATTATTTATGCACTCATATTATAATGTGTCGTATCGGATCCCGTGGGATCTTCAACACAAACGTAGTATCCAAACGATAGGTATCTTAGACATCCGACGACTAGTACAACCTTATAGTCAAGTGTCTTGCGTACAATGTTTACTATACTCTACGACTTCGTATACTAAACATTGTATATAGGTACCTACTATTTGCATAGAGTCAGTGGATATATGTATTATAATGGTGCCTTGTGCTGTTACCATACGTATAATCTAAATCCGTACTATTGTGACGTCAAGTATGACGATTTGTGTTTCGGTACGCAATACCTATATATATATATATGTGATTTAAATGAACGAATAGAAAATTTATGGGTATAATAATAATATGTAGGTAAATTGTCAAATATTATGATGTGCCCGTTAAGTTCAATATGGTGATTTTGTTTACGCGACTTAACATAAATCGATAGCTATGATTGCGAGTAATATTGATGAAAAAAAAAAAATACTCTCGCCCTATCTAATATTTTTAATTCAAACATTTACGATTAATCAACAGGTTAAATACTCGGAATATATTCATTTTTGTCAGTAATTAGTTACGTCCTGTTTTATTTTCATTCCTAGGCCACGTCATTATCCAAAGGTTACAATGTCGATTTCCTTTTCTCTACATAGACGAATCAAGCTGTTTTCCAGTTATCCTCAATAAATAATAAGAAGTAAGTTTCTATTGTACGGTTAAATTGTTCAATAAAGTAATCGAAGTGCATGATTTACTGAGGTGTACGAATAAAAAAAATATTTTCACTAAAATCATAAATGTAGGTACAAATATGTTGCACGATGGCTGTATTTTACAAAATTATACCTAAACTTTTTCGGATGTAGTGTATTATTTAAATTGATTATTTTTACTCTCACTTCAATAGAGATCGACTTATACTTTCGTTTCACGTCTGGCATGGAAAACACATTTAACATGGCAACTGTTCTGACATAACAATACAATAATAATAAATTATATACTTGAAAAAAAAAAAATGATTTTATATTACACTAAAATATGAGTAACTTTAAACAAAATATCGATTCAGAGTTAAGACTTATTTAATTCGATATAATAAAAATAAGGGGTGGTATTCTTAATAAAGCGCGATCTCATAAACTACATGGCTGATTTACTTGATATTTAACATATTATTAATTATTATATTATATTCAGCTGGGTTTAAGCTTCAAGGGTACGAAACTCTCCTAAATCCTAATGTTATTTGAAAAAAAATGGGGATATTGCCTTGAATTCATTTACACTGACATTTTGATATTTATCAGAGCCAGCTGCCAATATCATAATTTTCAATAATATTGATACCTATATATTATTTTCAAAAATGTTTGTTTTTTATTTTTATGTAAAATATTTTAAAGTAAGTACCTAGCCTTTAATAATTAATCATACATTATTAGGAATTGGTCTTAAATAAGAATTTGAAAGACTGCAATTTCCAGTAAAACTTGCCATTGCATTTACATTATTTAAAATTAATAAATCCGAGGGATTAGAGAGAATCGTAAAGAGCAAGGAAATTGTTCTCGATACACCATGCTTTCCTCATGATCAATTGTACGTAGAATATTCAAGAGATGGCGATCCAGGAAATCATTATACATATGTATGCAAAAAAAAACATTGTGTATGAACAAGTATTAAAATTAATTTTTATATATAATTTTATATCCAATATAATAGTGAACATTTTTTTAATAAACAAAACAGAAGATATTATAACAATTTACATGGAAAAACATAAAAATAATAATGCGACTCTTTTTGAGCTACTTATAGGGAAAAGAAAATTTCGAGTTTCATTTGTTTTTTTTTAAATAATTGTCGATAGAATATTTTATGCTCTGCCAAAAAAACTTGAAAATGTTATACAACGTTTCTCATAAGTTGTTAGTGAAAATTAATTAAAACAATAAATTCTAAAAATCTAAAAAATATTTAAACAGTATTTTTTTTATAGTTATTATAAGTTAAAGTTTGGTTCGAAATTACATACTAAATAATCAAAAATAATGGTTTCAATTATTTTGTTGTATTTTAAAAATATTATTGTTGGGTACTTGAAACTTCATAAGTATATTATTATGTACAAAATATAATATAGAATAATATTCTAGGTGACAAATCATCTCCATTTAGAATCGTTTTTCGTATCCAATGATATTATATTATTTAATTCAATTTAACACCATCCATTTAAGTGACCCACTTGCAACCAGCTACTGTAAAGCAGAGGGATACCCATTTACACGTTTTTTTTTTTTGTTTTAATGGCTTTTTTTAAGCAATTTGTTAATAAAATATATAATATATTTTTACAAGCAAAGTCTAAATTTATAGATTTTATAGAATTTTGAAAATAGAAACCTTTTAATGTCACCGATAACTTAAATCTATCAATTATATAATATGTTCATATTATTTGAGATTATGCGGGTATCTACATATTATATGAATAGACTTAAATGTAAAATGTGTTCGTACAATGTTTACCTACTTATATTCAAATACACATTCATAGTGTTTATAGTCACATTTAAATGTCTTATTGTGAGATAAAATCAAGTTAAGAATTTATTATTAAGTAATTTAAATGATTAATTAAAGAATTGAAAAAAAAACAACTGATTCATAACATAATAAACTAGCAATTTGAAGGAAAATACTGCGAAGGTATTGTACACATGCCAGCGTAATTATCGCCAGCGAAACACTAATTTGTTTTGGCTTGACGGTTTTATTTTTTTTCTCCTCAGTCTACGTAAATAAAATAGAATGTTTCGACGTATATATACACCATTAAAGTCCTACGGGGGGTATCCGGGTGAAACGGAAATTAGAGTAATTTAATCTACAAGGGGGGTGAAGGTTTTCGGGGTTTAATCGTCACATAAGATTTAACCCCACGTCCAAAAAACAACTCCTTTGGCACCCCCGCCCACCTGTTTTTGTCAACCCCCAGCCACGGATGTTAATCTTAATTGCGAAGAAGAATTTTGTTGTTTTACTTTTACTGTCGGTTTCGGTTGTATACACTCGGTCGCTTTCCTCCCGTTCACCGTCTCCGTGGTAAGCCAACGCTTTCATTTGAACTTTTCGTGCAAGCAAGGCCAAAATGATAAGTAGTAGTGGAACCCCCTGGAGCGAGAGAGCTGTGGAAAGGCTTTATAATGTCTTTTTCCCCCCTTAAAAACCCGAGTAAAATAATGGTGACGCGTAATTATATACGTCCAAACCACAATATTGGTATGGACGAGTGAAAACGGTTAAATATTATGTTGTCATATCAATTCTTTTGGTTTTTTCTGTCTTGTAACGATCGTCAAGTATGGAAATAATACCCTAACGAAAATCGTAATATTTGCTGGTTTTTAAACATTATTTATTGATGTGTCTAAGTTGTAATATAGTCGATTACCTATAATAAGTCAGTAATTACGTTGTGTTACAAATTTACAATTATCTACCAAAAGATAACATTGTTTGAAAATATAAACGAGGACATAAATTGTTTACTTTTTAAAATTTTCTTTAACGAAATAAAACTGATATTGAAAAATATGCGATATTCCTAATAATATGATGTGAAGGACAATTGCAAATGAAAATTATCATAATTTGCTATATATGTATACATATACGACAAAATATAGAATTTATAAATACTGAATTTTAATTAATATCAACAGTCACAGACAATTATTCTCGAAAACAAAAATGAATAAAATAAAAATAATAAAGTTTTGTGTAAAGGAGTGTTTAACTAAACCATATTATTACTTTACACAATGTTTATATTTTTATTTTTGTACTTTGAGCATTTATAAAAGAAAAAAAAGATTTATATGTGTTTATGTGGATTTAAGACAGCCATTTTAAACCATTATAATATAATATTATGGTATATAGATACTAAATAGATTTAATATAATAATCCTATAAATATTAATTTACACTTAACAACATGACATATAATGTTGCATATAAAATATATATTATAATAGTGAATAAAAACTAATTATTATGTCATATTAATATGTTGAATAATGACTATAAACACTGTTTTTTTCACTAGTCGGGTGAAGACGAAAAATCCCCTTTTTATAATATGATACAGGTACGTAATAATATAATTGTTTGTACTAAAGATTCGGCTACACGACGATTATTAGATATTAAAATATGTGATAATGCAAATTATTTTTTTAGCATAATA